TATTATTTTAATAATATTATCATCAATTTATATTTTTCTTTATATCTTATATAATAAAATCAATACAATTTCCTATATTATATGAAATATCCCCACATTTATTCAAAAAATGTTATTTTCCTTACTTTTTACATCTATTAAAATAAAAATATGAAAAAAATTACTAAAATAATTAACCACTCTCTAATTAACCTCCCCTCTCCTATTAATATTTCCTACTGATGAAACTTCGGTTCCTTTCTTGGTATTTTTCTCTTAATTCAAATCATCAGGGGCCTTTTTCTCTCAATTCATTACTGCCCTAATAATTCAATTGCCTTCAATAGAATCATTCATATTATCCAAAATGGCTGAATCATACGTAATATCCATATAAATGGAGTTTCTTTTTTCTTTATCTGCATATACCTACACATTGGACGAAATATTTATTACAACTTTTTTAATTTAACATATACCTGAATATCAGGTGTAACAATTTTCTTACTTTCAATAGCTACAGCTTTCCTTGGCTACTCCCTTGAGGATAAATATCATTCTGGGGAGCTACAGTAATTACTAATATTATATCCTGTATACGGGAAATATATTAGTCATATGAATCTTTTTTTGAGGTGGATTTTCAATTAATAATTCTACATTAAATCGATTTTTCTCCTTTCACTTCATTCTACCTTTCATTATTCTTTTATTTATTATATTCTATCTATTCTTTCTACATCTTACAGGATCTTCAAATCCTACGGGAATAAATAGAGATCTTTATAAAATCCCATTCCATCCCTTTGCCTTTAAAGATCTATTAGGCTTTAATGTTATATTATCTATTTTTCTTCTTATTATCCTTCAATATCCTTATACATTCAGAGACCCTGATAATTTTACCCCTGCCAATCCTTTAGTCACCCATATTCAACCTGAATGGTACTAACAATATCATCATATATACATATAATATAACCCTAATCTCTTTACTCCCCACTCAACTTATCTTAATTTTCTCAAATATTTTAATTTATATTAAACTTCCCCTTTAACTTTCATCATATAATACAAATTCATCATCTTAATTTTTAATTTACTCTATTTTCCAAAATAATCTATCAATCAAAATTACTAACCCCGATATTCAATAATACTTAAATTAATATAT